ACATTTGATCTCTTGTCCTGTCAGCTCACATTCTCGTATTCCAGTTTCTGTTAATTCTTACTATTGTGTATTTACCCATTTTATCAAGTTTAGCTATCTTTAAAAAAATTAAATAGGTTAGTGATATCTTTTGTTTATAAATCACCTTTATTTCTAGATATGGTTATCCTAGGTCTCTGGCCTAGAAAGAATGAAAAAAGTTAAGCAAAATTAAAGCATTAACTGAGCATTAACTGAATCTTACACTATAGGCATAGTTATATCCTTTACCTCTGCAAAGAAAGGAAGAAGGTGAATTTTCCCCACTCCTCTCAGGGGCAAGGCTTCTTTTCTTTTTTGTCCAGTTTGCTTAGTACAGTGCCTGGCATATGATAGGAGCTTAATAAATGCTTCTTGACTTGATTCGTTACATCATTATGAATGTTGTTTTTCTCACTTTGCTTCATTCTTTATCAGTTCATTTTAGTATTCCTGTATTTTTCATATTTGTTTCTTATGGAATAATAATAACCTCTTGTGTTTATGTTCTAAAATATTTATAGCCATCTTAATTGATGGTTATCTACCTTGTTTCCATTTTTTTTTTGCAAGCATAGAAAGTTTAAGAATATGAAAAAAATGCTTTACATGGTCTAGTTATTTTGTTATTAAAATTATGCTAATAATTTAAAATTTGCCAATCCAGAAAATGTATTTATCCTTCACTATCACCTCACCAGAATCTTGACAATATTTCAAATTGAATTTTTGAATGAATAGCCTTGATATTCTTCCCAAAGTTTTACTTTTCCTAGAGTGAAGATGTAACTATAGATTTTTAAGGCTAAGGATAAGTTATATGTAACATACATATATGTATGTAAGGCTAAATTTATCATCAAGTTGGGTTTTATATTTTTTAAGCTATAAAACAACTGAATTGGAAACTTTATTGTGTCTTGATGTTTTGTTAGTGAGTTCAGTTTTTTTTAATCCCTTAACTTTGGTCAGATAGCTTCAGCAGTTTACTAGATTTGCAAACATTGTTTCTATTTTTATTTCTGGGATTTGTTTGTCTTTGTGGGGACAATATTTTTAGTAATGTTACCTGTGTTAGATTATATTTGGATGAATCTCTGACTTCATCAATGTGGTTATAATTCCACCAGTACAAATCCTAACCCATACATATCATTTCACCTTGTGTTACTTTAGTTGGGATATGCTGGGATCTTCCTTTAGATATCTTGATATTAACATGGGTACCAATGAAGCACGCAGCCTGTCCAGCTGTTATCCCTTATTCTTGCACCATGATCATTCTCAGTCTTTTTCTCCATTGTAAATTTCTTTGATGATATCTTTTATGTTACTTTTTGTGACAGAGTCTTTAGTGATAATGCTACAGCCTATTTTTACCCACTGTGTAGCTTCAGTCCTTTGCAAATTGTAGCCTTGTATAATCATAGCCGTATAGTGTCACTGGAGAAACATGGGTGGTAAGAAATGTGGGCTTTTCCCACATATGCAAAATATTTATAGCAGCTCTTTTTGTGGTGGCAAAGAATTGGAAATTGAGAGGATGCCCATCAATTGGGGAATGGCTGAACAAGTTGTGGTATATGAATGTAATGGAATACTGCTATGCTATAAGAAATGATGAGCAGGCAGACTTCAGAAAAACCTGGAAAGACTTGTATGGTCTGATGCTGAGTGAAGAGAGCAGAACCAGGAGAATGTTGTACATGGTAACAGCCACGTTGTGTGATGACTAATATTGATAGACTTAGCCCTTCTCAGCAATGCAAGGATCTAAAACATCTCCAAAGGCCTCATAATGGAAAATGCTGTCTACATCCAAAGAAAGAACTATGGAGTTTGAATGCAGGTGGAAGCATACTATTTGCTATTTTTTTTTCTTCTGTTGTGTTTTGTTTCCTCTTTCTGGTAGTTCCTCCTATGGGTTCTAATTCTTACTTACAACATCACTAATGTGAAAATATGTTTAATAGGAGTGTATATGTATAGCCTATATCAGATTGCATGCCGTCTTGGGGAGGAAGAGGGAGAAAAATTTAAAACTCAAAGGCTTATGGAAGTGATTGTTGATAAATCAAAATAAATTAATAAAAAAATGTGGGCTTTGGTTCCAAGGAGAAGCTGGTAGCATGGGAAGTGGAGGAGACCACAAAAAACTGAATGTTTTCCAAAATGGATTCCAAGATTAATTAAGTATGAAACCCTGAATTCTGTTCATTTCTAGGCTCAGTTCCTTATTAATCTACAGTATCTGTCTAAGATATATGCACTGATGAACCTTAACCCCAACTCTAACCTCTTTTTACCCCTAGACTCAAGTCAGCTTGAGCTTTAGCCCATTCTGTGCAGACCCCAAGCCATTTCTCTAGGCTCACCACTTCCTTAACTTGTCAGCCTATCATATTATTAGCAAGTTTTATCCATATTTCATTGGAATCCCCCTTCTTTGTACTCCTTAGCCTTCTAATAGTTACATCTTAATATGGTTTTGGCATATATATGAGAGACACCTTAGTGGAGGTGAGCCTTTAAACCTGCATTTTGTGTTCTCAGATGCTTTTTTTTTTTAATATTCAACAAACAATAGAGTGGGATTTTTCATTCTTTGAACATTTCAGTCAGTGGCATGACTGTAAAAGATGTGATCTGATCTAGAATATCCTTTATGAGTACCTACATTTTTATCTAGGTAGGCATAAAAGATAAAGAAAGCTTACATATATGCCAGAATATGTGTTGTAGCACTTTTTTGGATTAGTAAGTGTTTATTGATTGAGGAAAGACGAAACAAATTGTGGTACCTATATTTGAGTGTGTATTTGAATAGATACTCTTTAGAGCTTGTTTGATTATATGCATTTGGGATAGACCATGCATAGTTGACATTGAGCTAGGGACCCAGAGTTGAAAAGTAGGAGAGTGGATGGAATGCTTTTGGGAATATGCCAAGTACTTTATTGGCTCCATGCTTCCTATAACAGCAATTGCACATCTTTTTCAAAAAAAGTTATTTGTACAGGTTTTGCTGTTTAGAATAGCACTGCTTCCAAAGAACTAAAGATGAACATCATACGGGGGCACTGGAAAGGCATATGTTGGGTGTGAGTAGACTGCAAGATAAAATGTAACCAATAAGCTGCCTACTTTTGGATTGCAGTCATCTGGCATTAGAATATAATAGAATAGATATGTACATGCACATGATACATATATGTACATTCACACATGTACATATATAATAAGTGGTAATTATCTTTGTGATGATCTTTTTTACAAATTCACTGCAGAAGAAGGTGCTTAAGAGGTTCAATAAATGATTCTTTTTTGGTTGCTTTTGGAGACATTGTAAAATTAACTATAACTACTCCTGTATTTGCTTCTCCTAGGAAAAATTCTGAACCATTTTTCCATTTAATTGAAGCTTGGCTTTGTTTTCTGATTTCGTTTATAGCTCTAACAAGAATGTTAAGAATGATACGATTGAGTTCTTTCACTCATTCAGTAGATAAGGATCTCATATTTAGAGGACCAATAGTTGGCACTGTGTATAGGTACTCTGTAAACTGAGTAATTCTTAGCAGTTTTGACCCCTTTTCTGGCTCTTTGTCACCATCAGTGAAGAAGAGGATTACACAGGGCTGAAAGCTGATTTGTCCTTTTTTTTTTTAATTGCCAAGGCCAAAGAAATCACCCAGTGGCCAGCATCCTGTTACCTTCTTAGTATGATCATCTAGCCAGTTAGCATTCTACTGGAATAGCTTTTGAGAACCCATCTTCCCCACCACAGTGAGACAAGGAGGTAGGACTTTAGGCCTTCTGAACCTAATAACATCTTTCAGACATTTTCTTTAAATAAGGTCACAACTTTGGATTCTTAGTTATTAATCCTTAAAGTGATAGCTTCAGTTATCATGAGGAAAGTTTTGTCCTTTTTACTGAAAAATGATTTTTTAAATTTATTTTTTTCTGCTGCATTTCTTTGAATGAATGAGTGAATTAAAGCAATTACCAAGTGCTTACTATGAACTAGGCATCATGCCAATTATGCGATAGCAGTGCAAAAAGTGGAATAGCCCGTGCCTTCTAGGAACTTACATTCTAGTAGGGAGAGACAGTGCGTGCACGTAGGGGAGTAGTGGCTACAGGGAGGAGTTTTGTTTGGGGAATCTTAGGGATGGTGAGTTGATCCAAAGGGCGATCCAGTCCATTGACATGCCGTTTCCCAAAGCAGGGGTACAACTGATTTGGTGACTGTGTCCAGAGCAAGAAAGAGTAAAGGAGGGGAAGGGGAAAGTGGCAGTGCAGGATGGACTGGTGGATGGAATGTGAAGCATGGTCTTATGCCAACCTTTTTGTAGCTGTTTGTAGCTGCTTAATAACCAAATGGGCGTAGGTGGCGCAGTGGATAGAGTGCTGGACCTCAAGTCAGGAAGGCCTGTGTTCAAATGTAGCCTCAGATACTTGCAAACTCTGTGACCTAGGGGAAGTCATTTAACCCTGTTTGCCTCAGTTTCCTTATCTGTAATATGAGCTGAGAAGGAAATGGCAAACCACTTCAATATCCCTGCCAAGAAAACCCCAAAGGGGTCATGAAGAATTGGACATGATTAAAATGACTGAATATCAACAATAACCAAATAACCTATAAAGTTCCAAGAATACTCCAGAAACTTGATAAATGGGAATTGAAATTTGTACTGTTGTTTTAAAATATCTGAATATTCCTGTATATTTTTTCTGCCATTTTAAAAAACTTGGAATGAAAACATGTAAAATATATTCTGACTTTTTGTCGCATTATTAAAAATCTAGTTTTGTACTGTTAAAAGTCAATACAGTGGAATTCGTAGTTGACATTTTAGGATTTGGTATAGGTGATGGCAAATAGAGTGTAATGCTACAACATTATAAAACTTAAAAGTGTTTTTTTAAACTGTCCAAATAACTGAAGATATAGTGATACAGAATTATTTTTCTTACAGTTCCCAGAATGTGGTTTTTTTGGCATGTATGACAAAATTCTTCTCTTTCGCCATGACCTGAATTCAGAAAATATTTTACAGCTGATTACCTCAGCAGAAGAGATACATGAAGGAGATCTTGTAGAAGTTGTTTTGTCAGGTAAGTAAAAAGGCTTGCTTTCATGTTTCCATTTAATCTTTAAATGAGACTTAGTTAAGGAGCCACATATTCTGTGCTAGGTATTAGACAAACATGAGTAGCACTTGGTTTTGGTCTTACGGTGCATTCCATGGTTCCCATGTGATTTGTACTTCTGGCAGGTATGTCTTTATTAATAGTTCTCTGCCATTTGGAGATGGAAGAAATCTAGAGAGGATCTGATCACAGATAAGGAAGTCGTCACAGACCTTGAGTACAAGGGGACAAGCTGAAAGGTTTGGCCCTGGGTCTGAAGCAGTATCTTCTATTGTCTCCTGAGGCACAGAGGCCAACCCAGTTGCGCACAGATGCTCTGCCTCCTTTGTCCCGTAGAACAGAATTGTTTGCTGTTCAGGGAAAAGAAAGGAAGGAAAATATAAAAAGATAAAGGTAGAAAATTATTAGCAGTTTCTAAGCTTTTATAGTGCTGTAGTTTAAAAAGTAAATGAAACCCAGGAAAAATTTATATTTCATGTTCAGGTGAAATGTTCAGAACTAATTAGCTCATTACTGTCTTTCCTAAGTGTTCCATTATATAATAAAACTTGATTATCTCATGTTAATTAATAGGACTTACCTGTAACACCTTTCTTTTAAAAGCTTTGGCTACAGTAGAAGATTTCCAGATCCGTCCACATGCACTCTATGTGCATTCTTACAAAGCACCTACTTTTTGTGACTATTGTGGTGAAATGCTTTGGGGATTGGTACGCCAAGGATTAAAGTGTGAAGGTATGGATCCTAGAATGTTCTTATTTGACAACTTTTAGCATTTTAAAATGGTGTATTTATAAAGTGTGTGTGTGTGTGTGTGTGTGTGTGTGTGTGTGTGTGTGTGTGTGTGTGTATGTCAGAGGGTATGTTCAGAGGAGTCACTGATAAATTTAAGATGTTCACTTAATCAGTCTGATGAGCTTTCAGGGCATAAACTTGGTTTGGATACATCTAAGGGGCATCTTCCCCTGAAATGTCAGAATGTCTATTGGTTCAGTAGTTCAGTACTGATTTGATTTCAAGGGCTGAGGTTAGCTCCCCATGAATAGTTGACTGAGACTCAACTGTACCTCCTTGTATTTTATATAAGCAAAGTGCTTAGTCTTAGTCTCGGTTGTTCTCTTTAGATATTTCCTTTGCTTTCCCCTTCCTTCTCTCCTGGTGCCAAGGATAGGGAGAGAAGACATTTCTTCTTCTCCTCACCCCCAGGAGCAGTTGATGGTAACTTGGGTCAGAAATGCATGGCTCTGGTAAGCATGAGCTTATACAGATTGAGAGGAGAGATCCTGAGATTGGAGAGTAAGTAGCTCTTCTCATCTTAATAGATGTAAGCAATTAGGGCATTGAGAGAATTCTTACAGAAGCTTAAAGCAGAAGCAGACACACGAGAGCCTGGTCAGTCCAAAGCAGAGCCTCAGCTTTGGGAATTGTCTCATGGGTGACTTCTGTTTTAAGTTTGGCTGCTGTACCATTCATAGAGAGAAGATTTCTCATGTGATGTTCTCCTTGGAGAGAGTAGGGGATATTTCACATAGTCCTTGTACAGCGTCCTCCTTGGAGAGCAATATTAGTGAATCATTCAGATGGTGCAGTTCTGATGGAAAAGGGCCTTGACTGTTAAGCAGCCCCCAGAGGATATTTACCTGTGGGGGGCAAGAGGGTCAAAACCGCAAGGTGGTACTGTGAATCTAAGAGGGCCTCTGTGTGACCTTGTAGGAGAAAGGGATCTCATTGAAATAGTAGCTTGTTAGCCCTATTAGCAATTCCTACTGGGAGCTGAGCTGACAGACTACTTGAATCCTTTATGCAATTTTAATGCAATTTTAAGTTATTAAAATTTGAAACTACACTGAGACATGTGGGACACCCGTATTTCTGTATCTCTTTATGGGCTTCCGTGAATCCTTTATCAGTAGATAATCTTTTATATTTTCTATAGGCTAAAGGCTGCCCTACACTTGATACTCATATTGTACCTTGAATACTTGTATAGGTCCTAGAGCCCCATTTTAATCCATATCTGGAGAAACCCAGATATAAGCTCTGTCTTAAGTTTATCAGGAGATTGTCTTGAAGTATCTCCAAATAGGAGGCAGTGAGCCAGTTAGAGATATAGCTGTTTTGGGGGTCAACCTCAAGATTGTACCTGGTCCCACATAAGCCCAAAGTCTTGGGAAGCTCTGGCCATAGGTTACATATTCTAAAGTCTCCCCTTGCAAAACAAATCTTTTGCCTTTCTAATGCTCAGTAGGAAACTTAGATACATGTTACTTATTCTTTAAAAAAAAATTCTAGATGGAGGTGTGTTTAGCATTCAGTAGACTGGGATACAAAACAAAAGTTAGAATCTTGGTTTTACATATATACATATTTGTGTCTAATGGTAGACATCTCTAGGATGGGGATCGGGGTCAGGGGAGGAGGAGGGGAAAAAAAGGTTACATGGCAAATTTATTATATATTTAAAAGGAAAAGCAAGTTTTACGTAATAGATTTGCAGTTTCATGTGCAATCGTCTTCTTTTTCTATTCTACTTTGTTATGGAAATGCTTGTTTTATTTCTTAAGTTCAGAAAAAAAGAGTTAGAATCTGAAAACTGTATTATATCCATATATTTTAGAGGAAATGCATCTGTTAGTCTCATTTCTGTTATGCTTTTTGCTTTATGGACAAAATTGGGAAAAACATGATATGGTGAAGTTACTTTATATTTATTATGCATTTATTCCTTATTCATTAACAGTCTAAGTTTTCAGTTTATGCATTGCAAAATAAAAGGGATGGATAGAACTTTAGATCTGAAATCTGTAACCATTTGGGTCCTTACTGAGCTTTGGGTAATTTTGTGACCTCAGTTAACTGTTTTTCCCATGTTTGTGTGGCAGCAGAAAGAGACCCATTAGTTTTGAAATTTAGGCCTATGGAAATTTAAGCTGTATTGTATAAGTTGGAATGGTATTGGGAACAGTCTTCTTTGAGGCCACTAAAGTTCAAAGAAATTTACACTTAAGGGTACAGATTAGTGACTTGACTTAGGAGAAACCAAAGAAACTTATGGTTTTTAGAGCCTAGAGTCTAGGAGGTATATAGCAGCACAGTTTGGCATAAGAGTGTAGCACTGTTCTAGAATCACTCTGACAGAACCAGGCTGGTGACAGCATCTCCCCTCATCCCTACTTCTAGGGTTCTAGGGGTAATCCTGAGGGGTGGTGATGATTTCTGTCTTAACACTGTCACCTCAAGGTCCCCCTTCCCACTTTGCCAGCACCTGGGGACACACTTTTCCTGTATTCTACCAGAGACCTTGGTGAGAGTGGGTTCAGATTTAACTCAGTTCCTACGTAGCATTAGCTCTTCCAAGTTCATGTCTAAATGCAGTGTGGCTGATGGTTGATTCTTTCTCTTTGCTGCCGCTGAACCAGATTATGGAAGTTGTTTATGATTCCATTCCTCATTGTCTGGCTTGTGGTTGATTCAGAATGATCCAGAATCTACCTTCTATTTGAACATCTTATCTTAGGGTCACAGCCATCTCCTAGATTCTTCACCTAAAAGATTAAAGAACAGAAGTGGCCTGTAATCATGGGCCATGTCTTCAAATGAGGAAAGTCTGATACCCTTTCTCTTATACCATTGTACCTAAGGGGCAGCTAAATGGTACAGGGGACAGAGCACTGCAGTCAGAAAACACTTGTGACCCTGGCCAAGTCACTTTATCTCTAGGTGCCTCAGTTTTCTCATCTGTAAAATAAGGGTAATAATAGCATCTACCTCCTAGGGATATTGTGATGATAAAATAAGGTAATATTTATAAAGCACTTTGCATACCTTTGATGATAATAATGACAATATATCTTCTGTCATCTGAACTATACCTAGACAAGAAAGAGAAAGCAAAACTCAGATTTTGGCTGCCTTTTGAATGGAGCCCTGTTTCTGGCTCTGCAGCCAGTTAAGAGTCCATATCCTCATCACATGGTTAGCAGACTGGCCAAAGTGAGAAGCAGCCTCTTCCATATGGGGAATTATTGCTACGACACTTCTAGCTGCCCTTTACAAAAGTAAGGAAGAAGATGAAAAAAAGAAGCAATAATATACATTTATATTGAAATAATAGGATATTAGAATTGTAAAGTCAATTCAAGCATTTATTAATAGCTTGCTGTGCCAGGCCCTTTGCTAAGCACTGGGGAAACGAAGAGATAGTCCTTACCCTCACAGCCTAATGCACACAGAGATAATAGAGATCCACTAGAATTTATTGAATGTGGGATCATGCAGGGGGAAGGGTTGTGACATGGTCAGACCTGCACTTTAGGAAGGTCACTTTGACAGCTGAATGAAAGATGGACTGGAGTTGGGAAAGACATGGCAGGGAGACTAATGAGGAGGGTAGGAGATTGCAGTAATCTAAGCATGAGGTGAGCAAGACTTGTACCAGGGTAGTAGCAGTGTCAGAGGAGAGAAGGGGATGTATATATACAAGAAATATTTTGAAGACAGATTTATATTTTGTATGTGTATGTGTGTGTGTGTGTGTGTGTGTGTGTGTATATATATATATATATATATATGTTGTATATATATTTTATGTATATATATATAGTATATATATTTTGTGTGCATATATATCAGTATATTTGTATATATATTTTTGTATGTATAATTTATGTGTGTATGCGCATATGTGTGTACATATATATGTGCATTATACACACATACACACACACGTAATATACATACATAAAGTTGGAAGTAATCTTAGATAAAGGGAACTAGCAACAAGGGACACTGGGAAAGGCTACTTTAAGAAGGTAGTATTTGAGAGCTAATTCTGGGTACCACAAGGTTTAAGAAAGATGCTGATAAGAAGAAGCAGCTTGGTTTAGTAGAAAGTATGCTGGCTTTAAACTCAGAGAAACCAAAATTCACATCTTCTTTAGTACTTTCTGTGTGTGTGACCCCGGACACGTAATCTTTCTGGACCTCAGTTTTCTCATCTGTGAAACCAGGGGTTTGGATTAAGTAACCCCTGAGGCTCCTTTCAGCTTTAAACCTGTGTTTTTAATTACCTAGAGAGCATCCAGAGGAGAGCCACCAAGATGGTGAGTAACGTTGAATCCATAGTATATGAGGATCTGAAGGCTATTTAAAGCCATTTGGATATTTAGCCTAGAGAAAAGAATAAGACAGACCATGACAGCTGCCTCAAAGTATCTCCCTGAAGGCCCATCATGTAGAGGTCACCTACACTAATGTTTCACACACTTTATGTAAAAGAATTCTTTCCATAGCATCCCTAAGAGTTGTCTCCCTTGTGCTTGAATGTGCCCAATCACAGGTAGTTCAATTTTTATTATGGCTCAGATCTAGTTTTTTAAAAGTTCTTTCTTATAAGGTTGGACTGAAACTACTTGACTGTAATTTCTGTCCATTATTGCTGGAAGGGCATAGAGGCCAAAAGAGGATTTTGTGGGAATGATGGAAAAGGATGGAAGGAAGAAAAAAGCTAAGGTGAGCAAGCATGAATCAAAGAAGATAATAAATAAGATAAACAAATAAGATAATAAAATTACAAGCAGAAAGGAAAGGAAACATTCCTACCAGGTAAAAAGACAACAGAAGACTGTGATGGAACCTACTCTTCCAAGCTAAACTCAGTATGCTCCTTTCCTAGTGTAGCCATTTTGCTAGACTGCATTTCAAGTTTTAACCGTGGCAGCTTCTGTCCTTTCTCC